AATCATGGTTTCCACTTCCTTTTCACGTGCTACAGGCAATCTTCTTGGCCGCTGACGAATAGGCAATTCTTGTCCTGTGTTTATTTTGTGTTGAACTAAGCCAGTCTTTCCTATATCAGCTTCGTTTGACGAGAAAACATTGGCGTACTTGAGTAACAACTTCTTCACCTTGACCATTTCATTCGGGGAGAGAACGCTGCGACAGTCTTCTAATAGTGTGGTCACTCTCGTTTATCCATCCTTGCTGGGGGTCCCAGTCGATAGATATTCGCACCGACGCAACCAATCCACTTCCTCACTAGTACCAACCAATGTGCCTTTTTCTATAATCTGTTCCTGATCACAAAGGTTCAACACACGTACTCCTGAGATGTCGGTGGTTCTGACCAAGGTTCGAGCCACTTTCCATGGAAGGTCATTGTCTACCCTTTCCACGAGTACACAACGATGAGCTTGCCCAGGACTCCGAGGAAGACTAACCGGCATAATCGTTTCCCATCTCGGCGGAAGAACAATCTTCTTAAGGCTGTACACATTCTCTGGTTAAGCCACTTCCACGAAAAGTTCCTCTTGTCCACATTTCAAAACACCTTGCTTAACGTCGATCTCACAACAATTCTTCCTCATAAAGTCTAGGCCCAGGATGCAGTCGTCCATTATATCAGCCACGATGACATTATGCAGGTAGATCATGTTGCCTAGCTTCAACTCCATCTCCTTCTCTCCACGGACGGGTATGCGCTGTCCGGTGGCTGTCACCAAATTAATGCGTTCGCGGTTGTATGTGGAGTCCCCAAGAAACTGATTTATAAGTTGGGATCTGACAATCGTGCGAGAGGCTCCAGTGTCTATGGTCAGTTTACACGGCTTTCCGTTGACCTCGCCCTTGATGATCAGGCTGTTCCCATCATGGGTTTGTAAGATCGAAATCCTTGGGGCTCTTCTAACATCAGCCAGCACCCGCCCCGCAGTCCTGGCTTTTACTCGTTTCCCTGCTGCTGCTGGGCGGTGCTATTATCCGCACTACCCTCTCGAGATCGATCACCTTCCCTTTCTACAGTTCGCTTAGGGCAGCTGGATCGAAGATAGCCCCTTTCCCTACAGCCATAGCACCTAGGGCTGTAGCCCTTATTGCGGTCCTGAACTGTAGCTGCTGCAACCTCCCTGACGCGGTGGGAACGATGATCCTGCCGCACGGCTTCCACCTCCAGTGCATGGGTCAAGGCGTCCTTAAGCGTCTCGTGGTGCCCGAGCCTCACAGCAGCTCTGACTTCAAGGTCGCGGATGCCGTCGATGAATGTCTACACCAGGTTCCCTACAATGAGCGCAGGTACAGACTGGTACGCTTTTCGAACCAGCTTCTCCATCTCAAGGGCCCACTGCTGCAGGTTTTCGTTACTGCGTTGCACGCGATCTTTGAGCTGCGCACGAAAGACGTGTTCCAGGTGAGCATCGCCATATCTCGCCTCCAATGCCTCAAAGAGCTGCTCGTAAGTCACTTCCTTACCGAGAGCTTCCAGAACAGTTAAGGCCTGGTCGCATAGGCCTAGGGTGAGAGCAGTCATGGCCTGACTTTTATTCCAGCCGTTCGCTTTCATGACAGCCTCGAACTGGAATTTGTAGGCCGACCAGGAAGAACTCCCGTCGAATGGTGGCACTTTGAATCCACGTAGCGAAGGTGTTGTAGCTACCACGGGAGTTGTAACTCCATCCCCAATTTTGAGGTCGTTAAGCGTTTTCTTCACGTCAACCATCACGTTGTCAACCCGATTGTTCACTTGGTCGATTCGGGTTTGAGCTTCCGACAGGCGGTTGTCATGTTGAGCAACCCTATCCTTCACCTCCTTTATCTCTTTCCCGAAGGTAGCGTGAAGATCCTTCATGAGAAGAAGCTGCTCTTCCAACCGACGGCCCTGTTCCTCCTGTTGGCGGGCCTGTTCCTCCTGTCCGCGCTGCAGCTGCAAAGAGCTGCTCGTAAGTCACTTCCTTATCGAGAGCTTCCAGAACAGTTAAGGCCTGGTCGCATAGGCCTAGGGTGAGAGCAGTCATGGCCTGACTTTTATTCCAGCCGTTCGCTTTCATGACAGCCTCGAACTGGAATTTGTAGGCCGACCAGGAAGAACTCCCGTCGAACGGTGGCACTTTGAATCCACGTAGCGAAGGTGTTGTAGCTACCACGGGAGCTGTAACTCCATCCCCAATTTTGAGGTCGTTAAGCGTTTTCTTCACGTCAACCATCACGTTGTCAACCCGATTGTTCACTTGGTCGATTCGGGTTTCAGCTTCCGACAGGCGGTTGTCATGTTGAGCAACCCTATCCTTCACCTCCTTTATCTCTTTCCCGAAGGTAGCGTGAAGATCCTTCATGAGAAGAAGCTGCTCTTCCAACCGACGGCCCTGTTCCTCCTGTTGGCGGGCCTGTTCCTCCTGTCCGCGCTGCAGCTGTTCTTCCAACCGACGGGCCTGTTCCTCCTATCGGCTAGCCTGTTCTTACAGCATCATCATCAGAGCACCTAATTCAGGTGCTGTAGATGCAGGAGCTGATGACCGACCGGCCTCCGTGGTCAGCAGCTGGCCTTCCGATGTTTGCGGCGTTGTATTACCAAATCGTCTCTGGTCCGTCTCCAGCTGGCGTTGACTTCGAGTACGAATACCCTCCATGTCGTCCTTTGGTAAAATCGGCATGATTTAATCCCACTTCTGACACCAATTGTTACGAGCTTGAGGTTCGAGACAATTAAAAACTGCCGATTGAATTACCAAAATTGTCACTTTAATTACACAACACTAATTACAATCTAAAATCACACTAATAATAACACCCAGTTCGCCGTTATTTCGCTTCGAAGTATTCTCTTGTATCGCCAATTCAATACTCCCCGGTCGTGGTCTATACCGGCCTTATATAGGGCCTCAGATAATTTCCAGAATCTTCTGCTGTAGCAACATCTAGAATGTTCGAGTACATATTAGTCTCGAAATTTCTGGAAGGATCTCGACTCTCCTAGTTCTGCTACTCGACACTAGAGGACGCTAGTGTAACTAGTGTTGCCATGTACAAGACATTAATAATGGCGCGCAACACTTTCTTTTACTCGACACTAGAGGGCGCTAGTGTAACTAGTGTTTCCATGTACAAGACATTAATAGTGGCGCGCAACAATATTTTCTAATATATTTCTATTACCTACGTAAACAGTACACAAAATAATGTATAATGCGGCCAAACTAAGAATTGGACTGAATTTCCGCCATATTGTGACGTATAAATGGGAAATATTAATTTAAAATAACATCGTATTTTTTCCGCTAGCACGTCACAATATGGCGGAAATTCAGTTCACTTAGTTCGGTCGCAATAAACCTATATATAAGTTCTCATTATACGTATGTATGGCAAATTTTTAGTTCCTGCAATTAGAAGCAGATAGCGCCACTCTGAAATATCAGCTGTTTTCTCTATGTCTGTAATATATAATGTACTCTGTGCCGTAGGTGTTAAGCTAGGGTCCCACGGCCTGCCATTAACCATAACTAACTTCAGGCACAGAACAGCTAGAACCCAAGGCCGTAAAGCCAGTTATTAAAATAAATGGCGCCCACCCACCCCACCACCATCCACCTATATTATCTATGGTCTGTTGTGTCACTACTCATACTAAGTAGAGATGTGACTCGAGTTCTCGATTCGAAATTCACGTAACTCGAATTGAACTCGAGTTAAAAAAACTCGAACTGGAAAAACGAAATTGAGTCAATTTGTTACAAATTATTTACATAATTTGTTTTTACATCCAACTACATACTGTGTACATACTAATTATGGATGTCGGCGCCGGAGGACCCAATAAAAACCAAAATTTCTTTTATTAAATTTAATTTAAAAGATACTACAATTAAAAGAACTAATACTAATTAAATCTAATTAAACATACACCCTGCCCGATGTTAGAAACGAAGTGTGGTCTCATGGGGGAGTTTCGTATATATAATGCTGTCGGATGACGCCGCGGGCGTCACTGTGAATCCACGGCAGCTTACATTTAACAGTGGTAGAGCCACGCGGCAGCTTTTGCTGTCGCATGGATGGGCCGGCTCGAACCGGTGTAGTACCACGACCTCACAGAATACCAGCGTGAAGAAGAGGTTTACATCTGCGTTTCTCTTGGTGAGAACAGGTGGCCGGAGGCCCTTTTTACTTGAAATGAGGCATTCCATCTTAGTCCTCACGAGTAACAACGTATCTGCATTTTGATTCGCAAACGAGGATAGATGTAGATGTCTATGGGCCGCAGCAACCACTTACCGTCAGGTGGACTGTGTGCTCGTTTGTCACCCTTATTCTATAAAAAAAAACATTTCTCATCAGGTTAACAGAATTGCCTCGCTGCATTGGGTTTCTGGTAAGGTGCTTTATCGGTTGGCATCACATGCGTCATTTTGAGTCCACGGCGACCGAGTTTCCCATCAAGTCAGCAAAACTGCCTCGTGGAAGCAATGTTGAAATGTTGTGGGGGAAAATGAGGTTGCCGCGTAGTACGCGATTTTGTAATGCGTTATCCATATATGTAACATACGAATACGATGCTATCGCATGTGTTGGAACAGTTATTATTACTAAGCTTAGAAGGCAGGAGTGACATAAAAACGTAGTTATAGTACTATGCATATGTATTTTTGGGTTTGCATCTTAGATACAAATATAATATGTAACTATATTTAATAACAAAACTAGTTGTATTGACAATCCATACAAAATAATATCACTGATCATTGTAACTTTATGACGTAGGTACTTATGTTATCAATAATTTAACTATCACAAATTATTCTTCAACAATTTATTGGTATTATATTATATAATATATACACGATGAATGAATTGTGGTCTCGCTTGCTCGCAAATTTCGTTCAATTATCGCCAGTCCAAACCCGAGTTAGTGATTATCCGACGAATCTCGAACTATTGTAGTAAATCGAGTTGATACATCACTATTACTAACTAACCTTGTTTGTGTTTTGTGGAAAACTAAAAAAGTATGTTGTCTTGATTAATAAACGTTGTTGGATGTTTTCAAATAACTTACAGTAATCTCTACAAACTGTAAATCGCAATATGGTTAGAAGCGGGTAAGTTACATTAATTTATGTCTTTAAATGATCTTTAGAAACCATAAATAGTACAACTTTCTTTTTACCAGACGAGACCGTGATAGGGATCGCGATCGCAGGCGTTCCCACAGCCGCTCTGCTTCACCAGATCGTAAACGCAGACGTTCCCGATCGCGAAGTAGAGATCGCACTTCTAAGACTTCTAAAAGAAAACGTAGCCGTAGCAGGGACAGGGAGTCTAAGAGAGACCGAAGCAGAGACAGAGACAGAGATAGGGATAGAAAAAGGTGTGTATTATTTAAATAAGAATGGAATTCTATTAGATATTTTTAATTGTTTCAAAATGTTCTATCATGTAGATTATAATCTTATTACAAAAATAAACTCCAAGTATATCTTCTTTCCTGTTATTTACTTACCTATCTGAAGATTAATCAAACTGAACAACTACTTAAATTTACTTTGGGAATTGGAAGTGCTAGAGATATCTGCTTTTATATTGAATATAGTTAACTTAAAAACCTTAATAACTTGAGCTTTTTTATATAAGTGATTATTTAAAAAAAAATAGTTATGGTCTTATAGATTGATATAGACAATTTAATCTTGTTTTAACACTATCGTATGAAACTAGGTAAATAATGGTAAAACAATAGTAAAACATAATGTATAAAGTAGTATGTAGCAGAATGAGAAGATGATGACTAATTTATAACTCTGGTACAATTTATTACTACTGTTTTTATGACTAACACAACCCTTCACCCTTTGTATTACGTACTGTTGAATAAATTATTATTATTATTAGTATTCTCATCTGGTTGGGCTGAATAAATATATAATAGGAAATGATTAACATTTATGTATATATATCAATAAAAAAAATACATAAATAAATAAAAACCCAACCAGATAGAAGCCCTCGGCAGGGGAGACCAAACTGCCGAGGGTTAGGGGGAAAGGGAAAGAAACCGGCGAACAATGTGGGTGGTATCGGGGAGCACCGCCTTCTGCATTTGGTCTTGGTGCGGTCCTTCACGGAGTTCCAGTTACCTCGAATGACTCAAGAGGCTGATTGAGTTTTACCTGTTCGCAGAAACAACTACAGGTATAATTTCGGTCGGCAGTCCACCCCACATGTCGGTCACCTCGTGAGCCAGGTCCAGATATTTTGTTTGCTTATCTGTTTCGGCTTTCACAAGGTTCTTGTCATACGGAATGGTAATCTTGATCAAAAATATTTTTGACTGTGCCCGGTCCATCAGCACAATATCAGGCTTATTCGCAAGAATGGTCCTGTCTGTAATGATGGCCTGGTCCCAGTAGAGCCAGGCACGCTAATTTTTGAGCACAGCTTCCGGCATGTACTTATTATAAGGCAGTTTCCGAATCATGAGACCTTATTTCAGAGCGAGCTCCTGGTGTAGAATCCTGTATACTAGGCTGTGCCTGTGCAAGTACTCAGAGTTAGAAAGCACCGAACAACCGGAAATGACATGCCTAAGTGACTCAACGGGATGACAACAAGGTCGACAGATGTCCACGGTGTCATCTGCGGTAGTTGTTGGTCTTAATAAACTGATCCTGTATTGCACCGACAAAACCCTCGGTTTCCCCGAAGAGGTCACCAAAACGTAGCCAGTGGAGGGAGGCAACTGTGACTACGAAAGGCTCATGTAGAGCTATGTAGAACCTCCCGTCGAGCTCTTTCTCCTTCCATAGGGTCTCCCGTTCGGAAATGCACTGTACTGCTGGATCTTACAATTGCTTGTTGGCTAAGGATTGAGAGGTTAGCCCTTTATAACATGAAATGATGTCCCTGTAGAATGGATCATCCGATTTCATCAGAAAGTTATTACAGAGGCTGCACACTTCGGGATTATGTATGGTGAGAGTGCTTAAAAAGCCGTGCATCATGTTTCCGCGGCAATTGTTATTATTATTATTATTATCATTACAACCTTTCACAATACCACGGCTGAATATTGGCTTCTTCCCAAGGAATGCTACAGAACATGGTCCCAAACCAGCTGCATCCATCAACTCCCTGCATGTCTGTACTAGGTTGTCAGTCTACTTAGAGAGCCATGGAGAGCCGCCCTACAGTTTGCATACTGATGCGAGGCTGCTACTTGACAACCTTTTTTCCCTATCTGTTGTCGGTTCTTCAAGCTATATGGCTCATTGCCATCATGGGTGTTGTAAGAGATGATAGTTTAAACTACTCCAGAAGGTAAGGAGCGGCATCTTTCTGTTAGAAATTAAATAATTAAAAAACTGCAGTTACCCACCTGCTTGCTAAACGTGGCAGCTATGGCAAAAAAACAATTCAGCTCTGTTTGATTACATTATTTTCATTTTATACACAAAAAGCAGATTATGTTGATGTACTGTACATGTCTTTGTTGTGTAGTGATAAACGCGATGACAAACGGAATGGCTCCGGTAGTAAGTCGTCAAGGAAGAAGTCTCCTGAAAAGGATAGGACCAAAGAAAGGTCTAAGTCAAAGGAAAAATCAATAAAAACGGAATCAAGTGAATATAACATAGGCTCTGTTGATAAGGTAAGTCCCTGTCACTGTCAAAATATTATAAATATTATTTTTCTTTATCATGAAGTAACATGATTGATAACATACATTAGTATGGATACATTAGTACCCATTATTCATGTGTAATGCTTCTGTTTCATGCCTTACTTATTTTGTGTATTTTTACTTTCCTTCCTAAGTGTTATTTATGGTGCATGTATGTTAGGTTGTTTCCTGTGATCACCTATTTTCTAGAAAGGCTTGATGAATTTTAATGTGTTGTTAGATTTTTCTCCATTAGAGGCTACATTTTATAATAATAATAATTACTTGTAATGACATATTTCAGCCTGGTCTTCAGGGATGATAATGCATCTGTGTTTTGATTCTTATTTAAAAAGTTCTTAGCTGACTTCAAGAAAAGGAGGTGGTTTTGACTGTTTTCCTTTTCAGGGTTCCCAAAGGGTAACCAATGGGACCTTATTACAAAGTCTCCGCTGTCCGTCTGTTCGTCCGTCCGTTTGTCTGTCAGCGGGCTGTATATCATGATCCGTAATAGGTAGACAGTTGAAATTACACACTTCACAGAATGTGTATTTCTGTTGCCCCTATAACAACATATAATAAAAATTTAAATAAATTAAAAATTAAAAGGGGCTCCCATACCATAAACGTGTATTACGATGGTACGAAACTCGTCAAGTGCGAGTCCGACTCGCACTTGGTCGGTTATTTTGTATGTATTCTACAAAATATCTTCATCAATTGTGAACCAAATTTAATAATTGACAGCTCCGTGTTGCGGTAGCTTAGCAATGAGTTGCAGCACTAAGGGCCGTGGGTTCGAATCGCGCACGGAACAAGTATTTATATGGCCTACAAAACATTGTTCTGGGTCTGGATGTTTGATTTTGTGAAATCTATGTATGTAAACTGCAGGAGAAAATCCTAGTGTAGGGGTAACTTTTTTCAAGAAAAAGGAAAAAAATCTCTTTGTATTAAATAGGTTATACTTCAGGAACTGTCCCATATTAAGGAAAGAAATACCACCCTTAGGGATAAAAATGGTGGACGAAGTTTTTAATGCTTAGTTTTTTTTTTTTAGTTTTTTTTTTAAACGTTATCCCCACACTAGGATTTTCTCCTGTGTCGTGGAGGCAGTTTACAAACATAAATTGCACAAGGCCAAACATCCAGACCCGGAATATACACAATACTTGTTCCGTGCGGGATTCGAACCCGATTCGATTCGAATTCGATTTCGAAACTGATTGCTAAGCGACTGCGCCACGGAGCCGTCGTGCTAAATGTTTTAATTTAGATAAAATTCTATTTGTTACCTTGAGCTTTTCATTTTTCTTAAAGCACTCTAGTTAAGGGCAAAAAAAATTTACCGCCCTGAAATAAATGACATTATCCATGTATTGTTTGCATAAGGTAGCCGGTATAGTGGCCATGGTTGATAGTCAGGTTTGTACTATATACTCAATATACTATACAGTGCACAAATGTTTCTTTTGGTAGACAGACATTCACGAAAGAAATATTTCAAGTAAGAAATACTTACAAAATGTGCACGAGCTTTGTCACAAATGTTCGCTTAAAACTGTGAATTTGTACTCACAGGTGAACACTAGTTAATGTACATTTACAAAAGTTACGCAAATCTTCACTGGAAATGGAGACTATACGTCTGCAGCTCAGTATGTGCACTGAATTTCAACACGTTTCTTAACAAATTTGTTGTACATAATTTTGGTAGAATCATGCCTGTACATTACAATCCTGATTTTATATATTTATTTATTCTTTATTGCATTCCCTATTACATAAGAATGCAAAGGCCAGAGTTAATGCTATAAGGTATTAGCTGCCCTAGCAGTCAACCTATGGAGTTGGTGAGATTTGTCATAGATGTAGCAATATAAAGTTAAAAAAAAATATAGATAATTAAAAACAACTATACAAAATGATGCTGATATTTAAATACATTTTACAGATAAATAAACCATTACCATATTAGATTTCAATGCTCGCTTTTCCTTTTTTGGCTTGAAATCAAGGCAATTTATATTTATCGGTTTTGTTATAGGAAGAAGAGCAAAGCCGTCTAGAAGCAGAGATGCAGAAGCGACGAGACCGCATTGAGCGCTGGCGTGCAGAACGAAAACGTAAGGAACTGGAAACTGCAAAGAAGGAAGTACAGAAAGGTAGCTTGGTTACTAACATTCAGACGGCAGCTGTAAAGAAATGGTCATTGGAAGATGATTCTGGTGATGAAGGTATGTCACTTCGAATTCATTAAATATACAGTTTAAAATTGACACTGTAGCTACGCCTACTTATCTTTGATAGTTTTCCCGACAATAATATATATCAGGCCTGGCTAAATGATTTATCGCATATATTTTCATTAATTTCCTTACATTATGTTTTTCTTCCTTGTAACTATTTTTATGGAGTTTTAAATCTCTTATGTAATATTAAGTAATTATATCAATCTGCTATATTTAATCGACGACAAAACACATTATATAAGCTATAGTGTGTAATTTTACTAGTATTAACATTAATTTTGACAAGTATTTTTAAAAAATATTCCGAGTTATAAATTTAACGTAATATGATATGAAAGAAATATTGTATGCTATATTTTTCATTATATGTATTATTGTATTACAAGTTTAACATTATGCTCATTTATTACTCAGGTGAAGATGGAGAGGCCAAAGAGAAGCAAAATGCTGAAGAGAAAAAGGAAGAAGAGGATGAAATCGATCCTCTGGATGCTTACATGCAGGAAGTGCAACAAGTACGTATTCTATTTTCATTTCGATATTTTACGTAAGCAAATAAAATGTATTTAATTATTTACCTGTTTATTAATTAAGAAATTTTTTACAAACTCAACTAATTGTTTTCTTTTATTGCAACTGTTCACATATTAAAGGAAGTACGGAAGGTAAATCAATTGGATCAGTCAAGAGGTTTAATAAGTGTTCCGTCTGGAGGTGGTACTGGTGTGGTCATTCTTACTGGAACGGCTAAAAAGAAGGTCACAGAACAAAAGAATAAAGGTAAATTATTTTGTTTATTAACATTGAAAGTGTAAGATGTCCGAGTGAACAAATGACGAACTTATAGTCCACTAAGTGGCTGCTGCAGTCCATGGACACCTGCAACCAGCATCAAATAAAGACTGCTACAGATGCATTGCCATTGAGGACTTTGTTTGTCAGATGAACTTTTAGGCAGAAAAGTAGTCTAACTACCAGGTTGGACTACTTTTCTGTAGATTTTATTATTTAGTATATATATATATATATATATATATATATATATATATATATATAGGGTTAATTTACAATAACCGGCAAAATTTGTGGAGAAGGTTCAGAATAAGTAATATAGGCAAATAGCGAAAAAAAAAAATTATTAAAAAAATCTCAAACATTCTGTCCGTTTTATCTTTTTAATTCAAAATGCGTGGTAATGCATTATTTTAACTGATTTTACTGTGCACGAACACATTCGTAAGGGTCGATCGATAGGCAAAAACGTTGTTGCTCATAAATCACATTCGATTTGGGATAGTTAAAAAAAAAAGTAGAAGCCTTATTTACTTGTATATTCAAAAAGTGCAATAACGGTATATCATTATTTATATAATTAAAATTAAGTTTAAAATTTGGCTGCTCTTTGAAAAATAACCCTGTATAAAAATTGCCTGATTTGTAAGACTATTTTTTAATAAGCTAATAAGACTAATAAGGTAATAAAATAAAAATAATCAAATTTAATAAATAGTTGTATGATCGTTATCTACAGGTGAATTAATAGAACAGAACCAAGATGGGTTAGAATATTCGTCAGAGGAAGAAACTGAAGATATTAAAGATGCTGCGGCAACTTATGCTTCTAAACAAAGGAAGGAGCTAGCCAAAGTTGATCATGCTAGTTTACACTATATGCCTTTCAGGAAAGCGTTTTATACTGAGGTGAGATTTTTCAACTAAAAAGTGATATAAGGTAAATAATAATTGAGTGACTTAGCGGCCAGTCAATCTTATGGAGATAAGTGGGTCTTTAATCCCTTTGCTTGAACCCCGCTGAAGCGAATAATCAGGTTAAACATAGAATTACCAAATATATTGTGCAGACAAGTAAAGATTGTTGCTATCATATATCATAAATTACATCAAAATAATTTTCAAGAACACAATGACAAAATAAATTATTCGAGCAATATATATAGGATGTAATTAATGAAGCTCAGTGGCAGGGCATTCATCGTTGCATATGTTTGTCGAAGTTTTACGTGATTTACCACTTATTTGTATAATGTAAGAATACCTGCATTTCCAAGATATAAAGTAATGTTTTGAGCCACGCCTAAAATCCACCAATTCGCAATAAAACAGCACAGCACATCTCACAAAAAAGTTTTCTGTTCAACTGTGGGACATTTAAAAAAAAAAAGAAATATGTATGTTATTAATTTATTACTTAAATAAAGTACCTAGGTATGTTTTGATACTGTTTCGATTTATTATTGGTAATTCTAAAACTAAACATTGTTGATAAAATAACTGATGGTGAAATAACATAATTCATCAATCCAAAATCATTATTAGGGATTGGTATAATTTGTCGTATCTGAAACCCAGAACGGTGACCGAAAAGCGGGAGCACCATCAAATGTGATAATTTATTTATATTATAAGTGTGTAGATTATGGCAAATTCTCAGAGGCCCATGTCTAGCTGATAAAAATGTATGTTTCAAATTATTTTTACAATTTATCATCATACTTCAAGGTGAATGAATTAGCAAGAATGACTCCAGAAGAAGTAGAAGCATACAGAACAGAGTTAGAGGGTATACGTGTTAAGGGCAAGGGATGTCCGAAGCCAATAAGAACATGGGCGCATTGTGGTATTAGTAAGAAAGAGATGGATATATTAAAGAAATTGAATTTTGAGAAACCAACGCCCATACAGGCTCAAGCCATACCAGCTATTATGTCTGGAAGGTAAGCATATGTTATATATATTTTTTGTGAAAAGATTTACTCGTGACACACATACACATTCACTTGGTCAAATAATCACACATATACATGTTCAAAGCCATATAATATAGTCAATAGTTTGCATTTGTTTATATTATGTTGAAAAATAATTAATTTAACTGAGATCGCCAATCTGCCCCAAGTGTGGCGATTATGGCAAATCCGACGAATGAGGGCTAATAATTTTCTGCTCACCAGATGTCGCTAGTTGACACCACTGAGGTAAACTTTTGTGTTACGCAATGTAATTAAATTGAGAAGTTATTATTTAATGAAAGTTTATCAGTTTCTAGAGTATTATATTAATACACAAAACAATGCGTCAGTGGCTTGCGCTTTAATTTTTTTGGACATTTTCAACTTTTTTAAATTTTTCTACTTTTATGAATATCTGTGGTTTGGTTTATTTATTTTTAATGTTATTAATATAAAATATAGCTAATAGTACAAAAAGAAACAATAACTTTTACATTTTCCGAACAAATTAACTTCCTCACTATGAAATATGTCAAATATTATACCTCAATTTCTAGTGATGCCGTCCTGGTTGCAGAAAATTCGTGGATGCCCTCATTAATGGCTTGCATAGTTTCGAAAAAAAAAAGCATGTCTCACACAGAGGCTTTTTCTGACCTGTAGCCATTCATTGAGAAAAACAGCTAGCGTTCTTAGTATAATATGAAGAATAGACTTAGTATAGTAGAAGAGCTAGGGCTATATTATAATTTTAGATAATTTATGAATATAAATTAATAATTTAACAAATTGTTTTCGAGAACCTTGCTAATCCTCATTTGCGCTGTGTGATTCTTTGTACTCTGCTCTGGTGCAATAAAAAATATAGACATGATTTTTTCCCTTTTATTTGATTACACCTGCAGTTTTTTGTATTCTATTAGCGATAAGTTTAATGTAAAACAGGAGTTTATATATTTTCAGGGATTTAATAGGTATAGCTAAAACGGGTTCGGGTAAAACATTAGCTTTTATATTACCAATGTTTCGCCATGTTCTCGATCAACCGCCGCTAGAGGATACAGATGGACCAATAACTCTCATAATGTCACCCACCAGAGAATTATGTATGCAAATCGGCAAAGATATCAAGAAGTTTGCTAAATCTTTGGGATTGAGAGTTGTATGTGTGTACGGTGGTACGGGCATATCAGAACAGGTTTGTTTTATTTACAATTTTTCCGTCTTGTCTATTTCCATTATGGTTGATTAATATTATAATTAAAATAGGCTTAATAAATTTTATTTGCATCGAGTAGTCTGTAATGGTCTAACTATCGATGAAAAGTATATAAAGTTCAAACTATCACACCAGAAAAAAATGTTAATTCATGATGTTGTTTAAATTCAGATAAGTAAATGGTTTAAAATGTGAGAGTATTGTGTGGAATGTCAAATTAAATTTTATTGTAGCTTAAAATTTAACAAAGTGTAAACAACTATCTATAATACATTTGTCACCAATTATAGGATTGTTCAGAAAAATCTGAGAAAATCTTAAACATAGAGAAATAGGTGTATGTTGGGGAAAAACTATTAGGAAACAAGTGTGCAAGTAATTGTTACAAACAATTTAAGCTGGGGGTTTGGTGAATAGCATGGTACCCTACTTATAGTGAAAGTATTTTTAAACATGGTAGAGCCATGCTGCAGCTATATTAGTAGTATAGTTGTAGCACAAATGGGTCGGCTCGACCAGGGAAGGACCGCGCTCTCACAGAATACCAGCGTAAAATAGAAGCTTAACACTGCTGTGTTTCGTGTGGTGAGTGTAGAGAACCAGAGAACCTTTTTACTGGAAACAAGGCATTCCATCTTAGTCCTCACGGGTGACAATGCATCTGCATTTTGATTCGCAAACGAGGATAGATGTAGATGTCTATGGGCCACAGCAACCACTTACCATCAGGTGGACTGTGTGCTCGTTTGTCACTCTATCCTATAAAAAAAACAATATATTTATTAATTTGACAAAAAAAAGTAACACTTGCCAAGGACAACGCGCTGCTTGCCAATACCAATTTTTAATAAATTATTTTCTTTTTTTATTATTGCATGCCATAAGCACAATGCACGTAGGTATGTTCTACTAGCGCCTAAAAATTAAGGTTTTGTCTATTATTAAGTACAAAATATGATACTAGTTAAAACCTTTTCATTTGGGAATAAGTGTTAATGGCAACAAACATTATGCTTATAGCAAGATGTAGCTATAGTTAAATTTGGTCGTTTGTTTTTCTCATTACATTTGCTTTTTTTAACTTTTTGTAGTATTTCTCAGTATTTTTTTGTATATGTTTTAAACAGATTGCGGAGTTGAAACGCGGTGCCGAAATTATAGTCTGCACGCCGGGTCGGATGATCGACATGCTGGCTGCAAACTCGGGCCGTGTGACTAATTTGCGTCGGGTAACGTACGTTGTTCTCGACGAGGCGGACCGTATGTTCGACATGGGCTTCGAACCGCAGGTACGTAAACACTCATAGACAGATGCGAGACATTAATTATATAATTAATTAACACTCATAGACAGATGCGAGACATTAATTATATAATTAATGTCTCGCATCTGTCTATGACTGTTGTGACCACAAGACCCAGAAGATGGTGGTTACAAAGACTTCTACGTACTACTAGACGGGGTCTGCGGCCTTAATACTTTGCGCACTAAGTTACGGTATTTTCTCCGTAACTCCTTTAATTGACTACGAGCGGACGAGAAGATTAGTTCTGTGTTTTGTTAACCGCGAACGTTGCTTTTGACAATCTAACACTGATTTTGTTTAATGTGACTAAGAAAACGCTGTCATTATTTATTGGCGCACTTTTGCGACGTAATTTGAAGTTTATTTCAGATAATATAACTTTATTTCGTATTTGCCTAAAAGAGTAACTGTCGGAAATAAAAATAAAACTGCGTGACATAATTACCGTGCCAGCTATTCGCCCAGCCGGCCCGCGCGATCCACAGCTGTGACCCGTGACACAGTTTTTATTCTGAATTGCTGGTCTGTATGTACATAGAAGTTTTTGGGTAATTGCTTTTCGGAGACTGCGTTATAACCTACCTTCCTCTTTGGGGTCGATTCTTTACAAGCCTGTAAAAGTCCTCAGCTAGACGTAAGCCTATCCCTTTTTAGGGAGCATTTGCCTTAATCGAAATGCTTCGCAGATAGATTGTTACAGTGAGGAAGCAGAGTCAAAGATGAGTTTTCCCATCTTCAACTCTGCTTCCTGTTGCCGGTCGGTGTATTTTCGACTGGTATAAACGAGATGATTATACCGCCATCTATTGGAAGAAGTAAGATCTTTCTGGGATGACCCATAGCCGCCTCTTACGACACTCACTCCCGTGTGTCATGGGACGATGGATTCTCTTCACAGTCACATGGTAGTGGCTCAAGGCGAGTAAATGTTAACATGAAAGCATGGGTTACTCGTGTAATTCACATCTTTAATATCTTGAGCGCTTAGCCCTTGCGCCAATTGCAATTTTAAATGCTGATTTACCAAGTGCTCGAAAGTGAAGGAAAACATAATGAGGATATGCATGTCCAAAGAATAAAAATATTTCTGGAAATTGTGAGGTCCGTCAGCACGCACTGGCCTCACAGATTCCATGATCATCAGGTGCGCTTACGACCACTAAAATAATAACATAGGCGCTAGTTACTAAAGAACCGTATAGGGTTTGATTTTATGAGTAATTGTGCGGAAGACATCTTGCCAATTGCGAGTAGTTACAGCAAATCCTCCTCGCTTTGAAAGAGGCCTTCGTTCAGCTGTGGATTTCTGAGAATAAGAAGTCTTAAACTTATTTTGGTTTGTTTTTTATATTAAAGGTAATGAAGATCATAGACAATGTGCGACCGGACCGACAAACTGTGATGTTCAGTGCTACATTCCCGAGGCAAATGGAGGCACTCGCTCGCCGTATACTGCAGAAGCCTATTGAAATACAGGTTTGGTGTTACCCTCAATAAATGTGAATTTATTATTGTATTTAATTTTTATATAATGTTAGAGCGATAAGCAAGTTAGCAGTGGTGGTGCGTTGATAGTGCAGTTCATAGGCACCAGCAACCTTCATGCAAACTTCACACAAAGGCTGTTCTTTAAACTACTGTTATAAAAGTTGAATCGCTTCCGAAACATATTCTTAATTGAAATTGCTATCCGTACCAGTGGTAATTTTTTTATTTTTAGTTTTACCACTTGTTTGGAAAATACCTCTTTCCTGGGACATGTTGGTTACTTATGATACATTATTTTTTTTTTATGGGATAAGGGTGACAAACGAGCACACAGTCCCACCTGATGGTAAGTGGTTGCTGTGGCCCATAGACATCTACATCTATCTTCAATTACGAATCAAAATGCAGATGCGTTGTCACCCGTGAGGACTAAGCTGGAAAGCCTCGTTTCCAGTAAAAAGGGTCTCCGGTTACACACTCACCATACGAAACACAGCAGCGTGAAGCTGCTATTTTACGCTGGTATTCTGTGAGAGCGTGGTCCTTCCCCGGTCGAGCCGACCCATTCGTGCTACAACTATACTAATAATATAACTGCAGCATGGCTGTACCACGTAAAAAATACTATATACATTATTTTATATTTTATATACATTATTTTACATTTCATACAGATTATTTTTCTTATTGCTACGTGCGGGGTGAGTAAAAATGCCGATTAGGATGAAAAATGGATGTACTTTTCCACACACACAGCACGTCCAAAATTGCCATGCTTTTGCGATGACATCTTTAATAATCGCAAATACCGTAGGTCGCATTCTCGTAGTGTCTTCCCGGAGTAGAGTTCACTATATCTATCACTATATCAATAATAGATTTAATAAGAATAAGGATGTGCATACTTTAAAGACTAGGAACAAACATAAGCTTGTAATGCCAGTTACTAGACTCCACAGAATCAGTAATTCATTTATGGGGCAATGTACACTTTTACAACAAAATCACAGAACATATTCAAAGTTTGTCAATAAACAAGTTTAAAAGCTTTATTTAAGAAAAACTGTACAAAAAGGGTTATAATATCAAGGAATACATGAATCAAATAACACCTAGGAATAAGGTGATCGCCAGTCGCCACCATGCTGGTTCTATGAAAAATCATTTAAAAATTGTATAAACGAAATTATTGTTAAGTGAAATATGTTTGAAAAAAGAAGTCCCGCTGGATTTCTTGCTGGTTCTTTCCAGGACAGGGTATTTTCCGAACCAGTGGTAAATAAAAAATGACTTTAAATAAGTATTATGTAATAATCAATATTGAATAAAAAATTATTCAATACTTTCGCGTTCCCGAAATAACTAACTCCGATCCCCGGCACACGCTTTTATACTCTATAACATGAATATAGAACTTTCTAAGTCAATCCAGGTTGTTCCACTCTCAACCGGAAAGTACTAGAACATTTGAGATTATAGAACAATATCCAAAGGAGAAAAGACTTTATACCCGTAGACATTTCAGACATTGCTTGCATTAATAGTTTGAGCGTTATTTTTATGCTTACACATTTTATTTCTTGACAAAGGCCACTGGCCCTTATCGTCGGGAACATTCTCGTGAAATGTGACGTAATACGCAACTGTCATAACATTCATATAAAAGTTTACAATAATATTGTACAATTATCTATATAAATAAAAGAAACAGCTTGGTGGCAATCTCCTCGTTTCCATGAGTCATTTTCATCCATGTATTGCTTAATATTTTCATAGTACTTTTTATACTATATTTGCCGTGTAGTGGCGGTCAAGAATATCCACTACCCCATATCTTCCCGTGGGTATCGTAAAAGGCGACAAAGGGAAACAGCCAGGAGATGGGCAGCAGCATCTTCCTGATAATAGCCAAATTACAATAAAAAAACTGCGGTTGCCAACCCGCTCGCCAAGCGTGGCAACTATGGCAAATACCCCCCAATGATGAGAGCAACAAAAAAACGGCCCCCAGTCCCCGGTGGCCCCGCTATTCCTGGCTACGGTGGCGACCATGGTAACGGCGGGGCAGGGGGTGCTAAGAATCTCCGGTGGAGGTTCGGTTGCCACCTTAGACGACTCGACCTGGCAACGTACAACGCACGCACCCTGAGGACTGACGAGAAGATCGTGGAGCTGGAAGAAGAGATAGACAAGTTGCGCTGGCATATTATAGGATTATCCGAAGTCCGAAGAGAGGGGGAGGACACGGTAATCCTCGAATCCGGCAACTTGCTCTATCACCGGGAGGGCGACCATCTGTCCCAAGGAGGTGTCGGATTTATCGTCCACAAGTCTCTCGTTAACAACGTTGTAAAAATCGGGAGTGTGTCGACGAGGGTTGCGTACCTTATACTCAGAATCACCAAACGGTATTCGCTGAAGGTCATACAGGTTTACGCACCAACCTCGGCACACCCCGATGAGGAGGTGGAGGAAATGTATGAGGATATCTCTAGAGCCATGCATTCCTCCAAAACCCAATATACGGTGTTAATGGGAGACTTCAATGCAAAACTAGGCACAAGAGAGAACGGTGAGCTGAAAGTAGGGAAATTTGGAATAGGGCAACGGAACCCAAGGGGCCAGCAGCTGGCCGACTTCATGGAGAAAGAGGGACTCTTTATGATGAACTCTTTCTTCCAGAAGCGGCCCCACAGGAAGTGGACCTGGTCGAGCCCCGACGGTTCCACAAAAAATGAGATTGACTTCATTATGACGACCAGACGACAACTGTTCAGTGATGTCTCCGTGATCGCGAGGGTGAAAACTGGTAGCGATCACCGAATGGTTAGAGGCACACTGAACCTAAACGTTAAGTTGGAGAGGTCTCGTCTAATGAAGTCAACGCTCCGTCCCCCTCGTGCTCTGTTCCAAAGTCCCGAAACCTTTCAGCTCGAGTTACAAAACCGTTTTCAGTGCCTGGAAGACTGCAATGAAGTGGACGATATGAATGACAAGCTCGTGGAAACTGTCCATGCGGTTGGAGCTAAGTTCTGCAAGACCCGCCGCAGAAGAACACAAAAACTCTCCGATCACACTCTTAATCTCATGGCTGTTAGACGGGAGATGAAGCTACATTCTTCAACAGACTTGACAGCATACAGGCATCTGAACAGACAGATCTCCAAATGCACGCGGCGGGACTTACGCAACTTCAATACAGCTCGTATTGAAGAAGCGATCGAGCGGAACCAAGGCTCCAAAGTCTTTGCCAGAGATCTGTCTGCCAGAAAGAGCCAACTGTCAAAGCTGAAGACAGAGTGTGGCAGCATCGTTTCCGGGACACCTGAGATTTTGAGTGAGATTGAGAGGTTCTATGGGCAGCTGTACACATCATCGTTGGAGCCACACGCAAGTGTGAGTAACGATCCAAGAGCGAGTCTCATCCGACACTATTCCGAAGATATCCCGGATGTCAGTCTGAGCGAGATTAGGATGGCTCTCCAGCACCTTAAAAACGGTAAGGCCCCAGGCGAGGATGGAATTACAGCGGAGCTTCTGAAAGCGGGTGGAAGACCGGTACTTGAAGTCCTTCAGAAGCTCTTTAATTCCGTCCTCCATGGTGGCATTACACCGGAGGCGTGGAGCAGAAGTGCGGTGGTCTTGTTCTTCAAGAAAGGTGACAACGCTCTCTTGAAGAACTACAGACCGATTTCCCTTCTGAGCCGCGTCTACGTGCTGTTTTCGAGAGTCATTACGAATCGTCTCGCGCGCAGACTTGACGACTTCCAGCCTCCCGAACAAGCCGGTTTCCGAAAGGGCTTTAGCACCATAGACCACATACATACCCTTCGGCAAGTTGTACAGAAGTCCGAAGAGTACAATTTGCCACTATGTCTGGCGTATGTGGACTATGAGAAAGCCTTTGATTCCGTCGAAATTTGGGCGGTGCTGCAGTCCCTTCAGCGGTGCCAAGTTGACTGTCGGTATATCGAAGTGTTGAAGTGCTTGTACAGTAGGGCTACGATGGCTATCCGAGTACAGAACCAGAGTACGAAACCTATCCAATTGCAGAGAGGTGTAAGACAGGGTGACGTCATATCCCCGAAACTCTTCACCGCTGCATTGGAAGACGTTTTCAAGCTTCTGGACTGGAAAGGATACGGTATCAACATCAATGGCGAGTACATCACTCACCTTCGATTTGCCGACGATATAGTCCTTATGGCAGAATCGCTGAAGGACCTAAGCACTATGCTCAATGACCTCAATAGTGTTTCCCAACGGATAGGTCTTAAGATGAACATGGACAAAACTAAGATCATGTTTAATGTCCATGTCACACCTATGCCGGTAGTTGTTGGGAACACTAAGCTCGAAGTTGTTGACGAGTATGTTTACCTGGGACAAATAGTCCGACTGGGTAAGTCCAACTTCGACCGAGAGGTCAATCGACGGATTCAACTCGGCTGGGCAGCGTTCGGGAAGCTACGACACATCTTCTTGTCAGACATACCTCAAAACCTTAAAACGAAATTGTACAACCAGTGCGTGTTGCCAGTGATGACTTACGGAACTGAGACGTTGTCCTTCACTGCTGGCCGTATGAGGAAGCTCAAGGTCGCTCAGCGAGCTATGGAGAGGGCTATGCTCGGAGTTTCTCTGCGTGATAAACTTAGGAATGAGGATATCCGCAGTAGAACCAGAGTGACCGACATAGCCCAACGGATTAGTAAGCTGAAGTGGCAGTGGGCCGGCCATATAGCTCGAAGAACCGACAACCGATGGGGAAGAAAGGTTCTCGAGTGGCAGCCTCGTACCGGTAGGCGAAGTGTAGGGCGTCCCCCCACGAGATGGAGTGACGACCTGGTAAGACATGCAGGAAGTCGATGGATGCAGGTGGCTCAGGACCGTGTTTTGTGGCATTCTTTGGGGGAGGCCTATGTTCAGCAGTGGACTTGTGAAGGGCTGTAATGATGATGATGATGACTTTTTATACAGTTTTTCTTTAATGAAATTCTTGTTCATTGACAAGCATCGATTATTTTATGGAATTTTGTTGTGAAAGCGTTGTAATCGTAACCCTGTGAGACTGTTTTTCTTTTTATAGTATGAGGTTAACAAATGAGCACACAGTCCAACTCATGGTAAGTAGATGCTGTGAACCACATCTACATCTATCCTCGATTAAGAATCAAAATGCAGATGCTTTGTCACCCGTGAGGACTAAGATGGAATGCCTCGTTTCCAGTAAAAAGGGCCTCAGGTTCTTTAAACTCACCATACGAAACTGCAGCGTTAAGCTGCTATTTTACGCTGGTATTCTGTGTGTGCGTGGTCCTGCCAGGTCGAGCCGAACCATTCTTGCTACAATCATAATATGGCTGCAGCCTGGCTCTACCATGTATAAAATAGTATTTTTTAAATTATAGTATTTTGTCGCAGGTCGGTGGCAGAAGCGTAGTATGTAAGGAAGTGGAACAGCATGTAGCAATTCTGGAAGAGGACGCGAAGTTCTTCAAGTTGTTAGAACTGTTAGGATTATACAGCCAGATGGGCAGCATTATAGTGTTTGTGGATAAACAGGAGAATGCCGATAGCCTGCTAAAAGACCTCATGAAGGCGTCTTATTCTTGTATGAGTTTGCATGGAGGTAAGCTTTTAATATGATATATATTAATATATTTATGTATCTAAAATATACTAATGTTTATCGGATATAGCATACGAAAATTATTTTAATAAAAATCTCTGACCTTTGAGCCTATCAAAACATATCCTCCATAGATTGCCTCATAGGGGGAATATTTGCCATAATAGTTATACCTCAGTTATGTCCTGTTTAACCTCTCAGGTCCCGACATTATATTGGCCCAACTTAGTCAGACCTACGGTCAGGCAAAAGACAATTTTTTTTAAATAAAATTAAGTATTACGTCCAGTCATTTTACTATGTTCTTATCCAAAATAACAAAATTTTTAAAAATTAAAATATCGGATGTATATGTATGAAGGTCAAGTGAGCGCTAGAGAAACGACGATTGCAAGATGTCGATAAATAAAATGTTTTGAGAAATTATCAATTACCGTGTAGTGGCGGTTTATGAATATCCATATCATCCCGCGGGTGTCCTAAGAGGCGACTAGACTTGGGGAAAAGTGTTATTTTTCAATAACCGTGACCGTCGTTCCGGTTACAAAAAGTCACTGAAAAATAATTGTGATTTTTTCACGTTGATAACTCACGTTGATACTTGGAACATTAGAACGACGTATAACGTGACATTATACAGGGTTATTTTTCAAAGACTAGCCAAATTTCATGATTAAGTTCAAAATATAAATACGGACATACACTTTTTGCAGTTTTGAACGATACGCGTAAATAAGTTTTCTACATTTATTTGAAAATATCAGAAATAGAATGTGATTTATGGGCAACAATGACGCGCGCTTGTGTGTGTACGAGGCACGGAGCTTTTGTCTACTATTTACTTCCTTAATGACGCTCGCTACTAAGTTGGTAACTACAACGCGAATTATGATTCCAATTTTCCCTTCATACTTTGAACGGGTTTAGGACCGTCATAATAAATAAAATAAAAAAAATACATTGCATCGACGACTGGAATAGATGCTATGCGATTAAAAAGTTCTGCACACCTCGAATTAAATAATATTTTTACTCCCACACAAAAGATAGTTCGAAATACAAATTTAGACTACAGAGCGAGGGAAAGAGATGAAGAATAAATGTAAACAATTAGTTTAGAAAAGATAGTTGAGCTGGAAGGCCAATGATAGGTTGGCGCGATTTAAATAATGGTTACTTAGGCGACGTGAGCGTAGCATCTAGCGCTGAAGGCGTTTAAAAGCGAACTAGCTGCCGCTGGCCGGTAAAAACGAAGTCTCCTGGACGGTTGCGAAGGCAGTGGAATAGTGCCGAGCATTGTCGACCTCAACCGACATGAAAATCGCGTCGGCGCGTACGCTGTTCAATAAACATTAAAAACTGACAGAAATTGTATGTTGTTGTATATTTTTGTATTACAGACGTAACCGATGACTATCTTTATTATGGCGACTTTAAAAATTGGAATCAAATATTTACAGCTACTAACAATTTAAAACGATTCTATTTACAAAAACGAACTATTTACTAACTTACTGGTATTTTGATAGGTGTTGAAAATCTTGTATGTGAATGTAGTCCGTTTCTCACAATGCACAGTTGAGCATGTTTTCTTAAATTATTTTCACATTAATTACATGTGTTTAAGTACTTTCACTTCCGCGAATGCAGCAATTTTTGACAACAACCATTATTATTCATTGTTTGCACACGTTGTATCACGTGATATCCAGAAGAATTCAGTAGTTTTCACACGTAGTAATGGTTGTGACAAATAATACTACCTATGAAAGTTTAAAAATAGGACACTCGTTACGTAATGAGGTCACGATCAAGTCAACACTGTCGAGTGTCTTTTTTTTTATAGGATAGGGTGACAAACGAACACACACTCCACCTGATGGTAAGTGATTGCTGTTGGTCATAGACATCTACATATATACTCGTTTGTGCATCAAAATGCAGATGCGTTGTCACCCGTGAGGACTAAGATGGAATGCCTCTTTATCCAGTGAAAAGGGTCTCCGGTTCTCTACATTTACCATACGAAACACAGCGGTTTTAAGCTGCTATTTTACGCTGGTATTCTGTGAGAGCGTCGTCCCTCGCCGGTCGAGCCGATCCATTTGTGCCGGCCGGCCACAGCCAAGTGAACGTACGCAACGGTGTAATGGAAGGGAAAGGGCAGGGAGACGCATTTGTTTTTACCGAGCCAAAACAATTATTAATGGCGGCACGAAGTAACAACGTTATTTTCGAACGTAGTTAGTCATCGTGTATCGTGACTTTTAGTCTAATCACGGTCACTTCTCACCGTGATATTATTTATCTCTCATGTCTAGAGGCGACAGAGGGAAACAAAATCAGGGGATGGGCAGCAGCGGCTTCCTAATAGTGATTAAAAATAAAAACTGTAGTTGCCAACCCGCTTGCAAAGCGTGGAAACTATGGCAAATATACTCCCTATGAGGCAATATGGGGGAGGCCTATGTTCAGCAGTGGACTTTAATAGGCTGTAACGGTAAGTGTTTATTGTAATAGTGTTAAGAAAAAATGTCAGAGAAAAAAAAACGAACATTTTTTTTCATTTAATCTCGGCGGAATGCGGATGCTCCGTGCGATGTTTTTAGGGCAGCGTTGCCGAGGTGAGCGATATTTGCGGCACTAAAATTTTGAGCTCCCCTTTATTTCTATAGCCCATAGCCAGCATTGCAAGAAAACTAAGGAGAAGGAGGGGGTAATTTTATTATTTGAAAAAATATTTTTTTCTGTAAAAAAGTCATCATCAAACATCAACATCAAACAATTTATTAAACAAAAGTTTTTTTTTTAATAAACTTTTTTAATGCCTGTATCAACCCAGCGCTCAACCCAAACGAGTTCAGTGTTTGCCATAACACATCCCTGTCCACTTTGTCATAAGCGTTTTCCAAGTCCATGAACGCACAAAAACCTTATTGTTCTTTGGCCAGAAACTTCTCCGCGATCATGCTCATGGAAAAGACTTGATCCGTATACCCTATTCCCTTTCTAAATTTCGCTTGCACATCCCAAATTTTTCGATCAATTTCTTTTATAAATCTTTCAATTAGTACCTTAGCATACAGTTTTCCCACAATACTAAGAATGTTGATACCACGATAATTTTTACAGTCCTGCTGCGAGCCTTTTCCTTTATATATTGTGACTATCACAGCTTTGCACCAGTCTTTCGGTACCCGTATTATACCTGTATTTAGCAGGGATGGTAGATATGATAAGGATATAGAAGGATGAGTGAACGCAGGAAATAGAAGGAATGGGGCCCTACACTGTATTGTGAAAAGTCAGAATGTGTCCAAAAAGGCACGTATGGCAATTCACAATGCTGTGTTAGTCCCTACTTTAATGTGTGGTAGTGAAAGTTGGGTGTGGCAGAAAAAGCACGAGAGTAGAATAAATGCTGTAGAAATGCGGTTATTAAGGATTATGTTAGGGCTGAATCTGAATGACAGGGTGAGAAACTGTGTTATAAGAGAACTGTGGTTTGCAAGATGATGTTGTGACCAGGAAAAACCAACTAAAAAGAACCCCTTTGTCGTATCTCCTCAGTTTCGAGGCAGTCCCCTTGTTGGCTCAGCCAGTATCGGAATCCTCGGCGTCGACATATCGAATGACGTGCAGTTTCGTGGTCACTTGGAAGAGAAGACCAAATTGGCCTCTAAAAAGCTTGGCGTGCTCAGCAGAGCGGGACAGTATTTAATGCCGGCTCACCGCCTGCAAATTTACAAGGCGCAGGTACTCCTTTCTAAAAAACCGGCATCACACCTGCAATTCCCCTGGAGTAACAGTTGTTCATGGGCGGCGGTAGTCACTTACCATCAGGTGAGCTGTATGCTCGTTTGCCCCCCTCTCCTATAAAAAAAAATGTTGCAGAGGTGAACGGTAGAGTCGGGGAGGGACGCCCTAAGCGAAAGTTTATCGACCAAATTGGCGATATATGAAAATGGGGCAAAATAAGAGTACCATTAACCGACGAGTATGTATGCGTAGGTATATGGATGTGGACGAGGCGAGAGAGTTGTGCCAGGAACGTACCAAATGGAAGTACGTAGTCTCTGCCTACCCCTCTGGGTGACAGGCGTGAGTGTTTATGTGGACTTTGTGGAATATGAAAATTTGTGGTTTTTTTTTATAGTGATAACTCACACTTAATGTTTCATTTTCATTTACTTTTCAGTTACTTCTGACTACTTTATTTCATTGGGTCGTTCACCGGAGTATTTGAAATGAAAATTTTATTAAGTGTATAAAATTGTTACGAGGCGAAATATAAGCAAATAACTTTTAAAAACTGTAATTATTTACCTTTTATATAAAAAAGAACGAACAACGAATTATCTTTTGTACCTACTTAATTTTTTAAATCTTGCACTCACGCGGTGAAGGAAATATACTCAAGTATATGAAGTAAACGCGATGCGTAGGTAAAGGCGGAAACTCGTCATTTCAAGTAAATTCTCTTAATTTAAAGAAGCGTAATTTGGTAACTAAACTAATTCTAATCAAAATTTTAGAATTTTGGTTGTATAATTCTTAAAATCATTTAAAAGTTATTGTTCTGCGCATTCTTATCTATGGTTCTTGTTTTTTTTTCTTGTTTTAAAAAAAACGTTACCCACACACTAGGATTTTCTCCTGTGTCGTGGAGGCAGTTTACAAACATAAATTGCACAAGGACAAACATCCAGACCCGGAACAATTATTCGTAGGCCATACAAATACTTGTTCCGTGCGGGATTCGAACCCGCGGCCCCCAGCGCAACAATTGATTGCTAAGCCACTGCGCCACAGAGCGTTCTCAGTGAACGTAGTGATTATATACATTTTGATTCTGAGCGATCCCTTCTAAATATATTTATAACTAGCTGTGCCCGCGGCGTAGCTCGCGTATACAGGTTTTACATAAAGAATTTGTCGTTTAGGTAAGAGAATATTAAACGATTTATTTCATTACTGTATCAATAAGTGGTAACAAAATA